AAAGAAAAGAGAGAGAGAGAAAGAAAGAGAAAGAAAGAAAGAAAGAAAGAGAAAGAAAGAAAGAAAGAAAGAAAGAAAGAAAGAAAGAAAGAAAGAAAGAAAGAAAGAAAGAAAGAAAGAAAGAAGAAAGAAGAAAGAAAAAAAAATCGCCTGCTTTCCACTCTGTGAAGATCCAAAGCTGAGCAGAATGGGCAGGGCACCTTGACAATTTCAAAATCCCCGCCTGTCACCCAGCGCCCCAGGAGAGGTTTCCTCAGTAAAACCGAGCGCCTTGCTTTCCACCTTTAGTGCACACAGTCCTAGACAAGACGATGGGCGGGACTCTTTTTAAGGGGTGGGGGACAGGACAAGGTCCAGAAGTGACAGGACCCGTTTTGGGAGGCGGGGGTACTCATTTATGCAGCAGAGTGTAAGGTGCCATCTGCACCCCAGACCCCAGCTAAGGTTTGTCCTATGTCATCTTCCCAGTCTTTGCCACCCTCAACCCCAGTGAGGTGGGGGCTTTGGGGCCCCAGTTTCCAGAATAGGGACCTGATATGATCATAGTGTGTAAAAGCCCCTCCCCAGACTCCCATGGCAGGGGGCACTGGGGGCTGAGGGGAGATAGCGTCCGCTAGAATGGTGTGTGTGTGTGTGTGTGTGTGTGTGTGTGCGCGTGCGGACCCACCAGGACTCCAGGAGGGCTCAGAGGTGGAGGTAAAGGAAGAAGGTGCTGTGGGCGCCTGAAAGTTCCCACTTCACCCTCTGTGCTGTGGAAGCTTGTGGGGAATGAGACTTGGTTGGGGTGAACTCAAAGGCTCTGTAGAGTGTCAGAATGCGGCTGGAGGTTTCACTCACCTAACTCAGACTCAGGTTTTACTCCCTTCTTTTTCTTTTCTTTCTTTTAATTAATTTATTTTTATTATTTCGTTTTGTTTTGTTCTGAGACAGAATCTCACTCTGTCACACGGGCTGGAGTGCAGTGGCGCGATCTGGGCTCATTGCAGCCTTCCCCTCCCAGGTTCAAGCGACCCTCCAGCCTTAGCCTTCCAAGTAGCTGGGAGGCTGCAGTGAGCTGAGATCACGCCACTGTGCTCCAGCCTGGGTGACAGAGTGAGACTTTCTCTCAAAACAAAACAAAAATCATGAAAATTAAAAAATAGGCTGCACGTGGTGGCTCACGCCTGGGCAACAGAGTAACAC